ATTCGTATCCGAACGTAAACATTAGTGCAACCGTGAATCTTTAGGAAATTCCAATTATCTTCAGACGCAAATATGTGCCTCGAGATTAAATGATCGGAACACAGCACGGTTCTTAAGGCCGTTGAATTTGTTTTTTTTTCACGCTCTACGAGGATATCGAAAGATAAATACAGGGTTCTATTTAAAAAAAAAATACCGACGACCTTGAAATCTCGCAAAGAAATGATTTTGAGAAAAAATTCCCTCCACCACGTTAAATATATCTCTTGACACTGAGCAACTTTGTTGAAGTTTTTTCATGCACCGATAAATAAGACAAACATTTAAATGATTCCATTTAGCTGGTTCACCTTGTATATTATAAAATTTAATTTAGCATATATTTAACGCTGTCAGTTCTGGCGTGGATCACAGATTTCGCTAAAGCGTTTTTCATCGAACTGTGCGCGAATTAACGGACCAATTAAAAAATACAAACGCTGGTAGCTGTATGCACTTTGTATTCAAGGTGCAAGGCTACTTGCAAATTCGATCGTGGCGAGCGATGACTTAGTCGATTCGAAACGTCGCTCGATCGCTGTCGATCGTTTGATCGACTGAAGTTGAACGCGCGCACGAAACATCGATAATACAAATTTAACAAATTGATCTCTCTTTCTTTTGTTGGAGCGTATTCAGACGGAGCCAATCATCCTTCGAACCTGGACCATTTTCATTTTCCAGGAATGAATTCCGACTGCAACAACCGCTGCTCCACAAAGAAAGAAAGGACAAGGGGGGGGGGAATAAAAGTCGAAATCTAACTTACCGAAGGTAAATACTCGAACCGAACACCTGCTTCTTGCCAGGATTCAGAGTTTGCTCTCACGGGTGTACACACAGCTTCTGCACCTGTCCGAATCATTCTCAAGGAACAAATTCCTGTACGCTTCTCTTACTCAGGTAGGTCACGAATAGGATTCAAGGAGTTCTTAGGACGTTTGTTCTGCTGTAAACAGGAAATGACACAGTTTGAGGAGGGAAGACGGATACATTGATGAGATACAGAAATTGTAAAAACAATAAAATATAAAGCTGCGTCTACACTATATAGCAAAACAGTTTTACATAATAAATTGTTATATGGAATTTGCTATGCAACATGTTTTTATAATTTCTGACAAGATTATACGTACAAGTCTGTAATAATATATAACTTGCTCTATAATACGAAAAATGTTATATAACATTTTTCTTTCTGTTTTTCTAATAAATTTTATAACATTGCTATAGAACGTGTTATGCTGTATAGGGGAGACACAGCTTAAGAGAATCGAATAGACAAGGAAAGGAACATGGACAATGATCTCAGTGGTGATCTACATGACATTGACTACGTTTACGAAAATACCACATAAATGGAGAACAGTTGTACAAAGGAAAGTACATTACAGCTCCATAAATATTAGGACACCTGGTCTATATGAAGAAAATATGTTTCGTAAAAATGATATATTTGAAATTAATTTCTTCGTAGTAGCATCAAGCTTTGATACCTCTTAAACGATATTAAATTTCAGACTTTTAACAATTTCTTCATGTCTTGTGGTAACATTTACTGCACAAATATTCGATAAGTGTCCTAATACTTATGGACCCAGAGTGTATATTGTATAGGTTTCGGACGCCCAGGGCTTGTAAAACAAAAAAAAAAAAAAAACAGATACAGCTGTTTTCTTTTATAGATAATCCTTTTTTTTAATAAACATAGGCATTCACTTATGTAGGTTAGTTTTTTTAGACTCTCTTACGATTATGGTTTATATAATAATATATTGTCGTTATACATATAAATTCTTACGCGAATACCAAACTGGAACCGAGGCACTGGGTACATCTGTTCGCCCGTTTTCCTTTTCTCTTCTTCATCACCGACATTCACGCGCACAAACAAACACGCGACATGCACACGTGCCAAGGCGTTATTGCAGCCACCTTTCACACACACACACACACACAGACACAGACACACACATTTACTGGGGGCCTTACACGACGTCACGTTTTGGAACGCACATATACATCTACTTAATTACAAATAAGAAGTACACGCTAAGTTATGTTTACTGAGATCATACTAATACATCACAGGGTTACATAGACATACGATTTTTCATTCCCTTTAGTTTCTTTTTTTACTATTTTTTTTCGTTTCGTTCGCGACGGCAGACTCCTTGGTTGCTTGTGCATCGGTGTGTAGGTGACCTTTGCAGATCTGACGAGATTCCGTGTATGTATATTATAACAGTCGGTTCGACGCGCCGTTCTTTCTGGCCTTTCGTGGTGACGGTTGCTTCTCTTCCCGTTGCTTTCGTACGACAGCCGACACAGACGAGAAAAAAAAAAGACGAAGTTTGGTTATGCATAAATTCGAGCAGTCTGCCGTTGTTGATCATCGATTTCATCCGAGAGTCGTAACGATCGTGCGGTTTTGTGCGAGTATAGTCGACCAATTGAAACCATATCGAAAATTAAAAAAAAATATTTATACATATACAATATATATGTACATATTTCTCTGTGTATATATATATGTTTATCACGCTCCGCAGAGAAAAAAATTTTGATTTCTATTCGATTCCTTATCGCGAGATGCTCTTGCAACGCGCGCGGGGTATCGCTGCTATGAAAGCGCCATTCAAAAGATCGGATACAACGCGACCGGTATGAAGAAAAAGCAACAAAAAAAAAAATATAAGACGACCATTAGGAATTCCTCAACGAATCGATTCTTCTACACTCTCAATAGAACACTCGCGAGTGTTACTACGGAGAAAAATAGCTTTGTAACCACCAGTCGTATTTTTGGATTATAATCTCAAAACGAGGGGGCGGGGAGGGTTGGAGGGGCGGGGTATACAAAGAAAGATGCGTACCACGGAAGCAGGGTGTGGGGGGATTGTTCCAAAGGATTGCTTTAACCAAATGATTATAAAGAAAAAAAAAAACAATAGAAGAAGAAAGAAAGAACTTGCGATAAACAGCTACCATTGTAAAATCAATATATCGTTTAAAGAGATATACAATTACATTTACATTAACGTTACGGTCCCGCATGAATTCCATCCGCAACGAGGATAGTAACGAAGTTTTAGGTTCGTTCAAGAAAAAAAATTTTGTTCTGTGTATAACCCTCTGAGCCCATGACGGTGCCTCCTGTTAACAGGACGTTTAAAAAAAATTCGTGGGTTCAGAGATGGACACTCTGCCGTGATTTTAAGTCAACCGATTAACACTAGAATTATCAAACAGGTCAAAATTCATGATTTGCAATTACTGAAATTATAACACTTTTGTCGATATTTATATTGATTTTTAGTTGATTACACATTTTTCATTTTACAATATTATGTTACATTGTACTATATATTGACAAATGTCGATATATTATACAATTTAATTTAGTATAAACTCTGGTAGTTCTAGTGTTAAAGACCTCCAGAAGCTACGCTCTGTATGCTCCCTGTATGAATGGTACCGAAAGGGTACAATTTCTGCATTCCCCTTACCTCACCGTGAATTCCGCGAATTTCAGATCAAGTGATACACCATCGGAAAAGGACGAACATCTATGCCTAGGCTGCGGAGTGCTTTCAACGGTTTTTCCGCACCAATATCCGGGTGGGGGAAGTTCTGACCGTAAAAAGGTTAAAAAGAATAGAGAGGGAGCGTCCATTTGTACAAGTAAATTCATCGAAATAGTAAAGATTGGGTCGTATACGATTGTAATTTTGATTGTTTTACCCCAATTACGATTACATCGATAATTTTCTGTCATTCGTTAAAACGCCAAAAAATTCCGAATATCGCAATCTTTCTGAAGCTTCGATATTGCTGTTCACGCTGGAATTTTGCTCGGATCAAGGTTTTCGCTGGATGAGAAATGGCGGGAATGGAAGCCGAATACGAAAACAAGGTTCCTTCTACGGTGATAGAATAAGAACAAATAAATCGCGGGTTGTGATTTGGCATCGGCTGTACATTTCCTTAAAGTCGTACAGGAGATCAATGCATTAAACATGGGTAACGAGCTTCTACGTATCTAAATCATATCTTTCGCCCCGTTAATTGTCCTCGAGACTGGTCTCCATCCGGCCACGGAAACATGATTGCGTGTCGTTCTCTCTGTGTTTGCTTTTCAGGCGGTGTAACAAAACTGTGTGTGTACCCGTGGCAAATTTACGTTACTCTGTTGCAGTTCAATTAAAAAAAAAAAAAAAAAATAACGATGTAATTATTGTCGAGGTAATTTCACGATCGTTTCGAGGACATTTGATCGATCGAAACCACCGTGAAATATCGTCCGTGTAAACCAGCTCTGCGGGGTATTTTTTCTTCCGTTAAACGGTGTCGTTAGAAGGGTTGCCCGCGCGGATTCGCATCGAGGAAAAATGTTTCGTCGATGGAAAGCCGCCGGGGGGCGTCTAAACCGTGACACACAGCCTCTCTCTCGCTGTTTCCAAGGGCCCGCGGCGGACCAGGCTCAAACGGGCCTTTCTCTCGTTCTCTCTGTGCCTATGTATCGACAAGAGACGCAAATGCACTTTCCACTTAACCAGCTAAGGGTTTACTTAAAATTTACGTGTCTGTTGTGTATCCTAAAAATATTTATAGAATTCATGTCTCTCTCATTACAGACGCTCATTTGAAGTGCACGTGGCGACGACGTCCTCATTCAAATCATCACTCATTCCCCAGCCATTGCTTCATTCCTCAGAATCGAACAAATATATATATCTATATGTATATATATTACATTAATTTCATGAAATCGTTACTCGCTCTCTCGCACACACTCTCTCTTTATATATGTATAAACATATATACGTATATCTAATATATTCCTAATCGTTACTCTGTGTTCCTAAATCTACTGCAAAAAAAAAAAAGATAACGACACAATGAATTACATATACATTATATAAAATAAAAAAAAAAAGTAGAGAAAAGAAAAAAGAAAATAGCAACAACCGCGGCGTATCGTTCTTCCTTCTGTGTCCGGTCCTTCGTTACGTGGTCGTTGTTATTATTAATTTATAATTTCCGTGGCATGGCTACGAAAAATATATATATATGCTGTGTGTATGTATGTGTGTGTAGTATATACGTCGTAACGAAAAACGGAGCGACATATTTTTCTTTTCACTGGCCACCGTTTTCCGTCTCTATATTCATGGCGGATAAATCTATGTGTGAATGGCACAGCCAACGGACCTCGCGCGCCTCCTGCCTGCCAGAGCTCTCTTGCCTCTGCCTTTCTCGTTCCTCCCGGCAGTGATGCTTTGCTTGGTTGCTTTCTTGCTTGCTTCCAGTGTTTCCTGCCCCTCTCGCGCGAAGAGATGGAAGGACAGCGAGGCTGAAGTAGGAAGCTCGGGAGGCTCCTTAGCTGCGTATCTGACCCGCGTTGCGGGACATTTTCTCCGGCGGCTCTATCATGCTCTTCGCGCTACCGTTTAGGCTACGCTTGCGACTCTTCATGAAGTCTGAAAGCACATAACAACCAAACATTTAGGTACACCCACGTCGGACTTATTATAAGATAATTCAGTTGATTCATAAACAGGTTTTAACCCTGTGACACCCCATCTGAGTAATTCACTTGCCAAAGTGATTACCTTCATACAAATTATCAAAAAAATCTTTATCAAATATAAAAAATTCAGCATCAAGTGTTTTAGCGCTAAAAATTAAAAATATTCAAAAACCGGAGTTCGTCACTTAAGGCATGTGAACACAGCCAATTTATTCGAAAGAACATTTTTGGACATCCAGTTCACTCGCATCGTTTCTATACTCGGATTATTCGATTCGCGAAGAAGTTGCTCGAAACAATGCGCCATCTGAAACGAAGTTTTACTGCGCGAATCCTTAACCCGGTTATCTGAATGGCCATACCCTCGGGCAAGATTCGATAAGTGGCAACGCACACACATTCCGCTCTGCAAACGCGCCACGCAAAATTTACTTCGCAAAAAAAATTGCTCGAAAAACGTTATTGGGACGGCATGGACCCCGAGGGCATCCTCCTAATCAGGATCCGCCTAATCGCGTGCAATATAAGGTTCGACCTCGTGCATCGTTAACGATAAACCCGCCCGAACGTAACATTAGCTCATCGTTGCCCGTTAATTATATCGGCTGGCAGATAAGATAACCACCGCGAATCCTAGCGAAGCTCGTTAAGAATTAAAACGTGCTATAATATTCTCTCTCCCTTAATACTCGAGACGGTTGCTCTGTGAAATCTTTAATGAGTCACGGCTAGAGGAAACCGTGTACAAAAACTCATCGCCTGGTGCCGCTGGCAGCAGGGCCGCCGTTCCTGGCGGGGGTGTAGAATATGCCTCCACACCAGGGCGGCCATCAAACTTAGGGGCGGCCGCAGGTCGTTTATTATATGTAAAACTTGGACTAGTAAAAATAATAATCAAAAGTTTTCCGATGTTTATGAACATTAGAGACTGACAGAATTTAATCAAATTAATTGCATATGTAATCTTTGTAACATTACTCGTATACTGGAAGGAAGTATCTTTATGGACAGCCTAAAATAGCATATGACATTTAGCCATATTTAGTGGATTATATTCCTGTAGGTAGTTAATAACCATAACATCATTATTACAAACATTATGCGTTAGTTTCGTACGTGTATGTGAAATAAAATATTCATTTTTTAAGGATTTGTTTCATTCTATGAAAGTAAAACATAGGTCCTGGCTGGCAGATACGTACTCGTAATCGTGAGTCACTGGACTGTCGCATTCGGTTCTCTAGACATCACCACAAAAATCCCCCTGTGGCCTCCCCTATCGACGAACATTTGGCGAATTTCCACAGCGGGGAAAATTCGTCGCATCTGTTCGATTTCCCGACCTAACCCTACGTGTGATGGGCCTTTCCCGAGCTCGAATTGTGACGGCACGCGACAGGAATTATGGAGATCGCTGGCACAGCTGTGTCAATGGTCGCGACCCTTCCTCCCTCTAATCTCCTCGAGCCGTTAATCAAAAACGTAAAAATTAGTCGCAGTCAACGGCGACATTAACATCTGTTCGCATCTTCTATTGTAAGAGAAACGTGTCAAAGATTCAGTCCTAGACGATGATTTAAGGCATGCTATGGCTAACAAGGGAACTTCGGTGCCTACTGACAAAATTCCGATCTTTGTTAAATTTTGCAGATTTGTAGGGGACCTCCATAGAAGCATTGGGCAATTTTTCATTTTTGCTGATATTCGGTTCTGTGGGCTAAAACCATCCCTTAAAGGCCAATGTGTTTTCTTATTTTTCTGTTACAATGAACATTTAATGCATGCTTTACTTTTTTTGCTGAATTTTTAACAATTTCATTGTACAGTTTTATAGGACATAAAAAGCCATTACAGTTTCGTCGGAACAATTCCTTTAACCTCTTGAAGGATACGTGGTTGCTGGTACGTATGTGTACATTTAGTTTTTCTTTCATTCAAGCATCGTTCCGAAACTGTAATTAAATATTCGCTAAGAAGTTTCTTAACAAAAAAAGGATATTCTACCAATTAATTGCCGTTAATATTTATGAATATATTTTAATTAAATACAGTCGAAGAATGAAACAAATATTCTTTCTGATCTTACTACATTCATCCCTGAAGAGATTAAATCGACTGATTTCCAAAATATACAGGAAAATAGTTCTAGTTTCTAAAAAAAATCGGAATTTCCGAAACACCGAAGTTCCCTTGTAAGTCAACGACCATGTCACTTTTTCGTTAACAATATTCAAAAATAAATACACAGCGGCAATTTCTCTAGAAGACTAAAATACTGTACTCTAAATGATGATTATCCAAAAACCCTCGTTAGATGGTTCCCCCCAGACCCAAAGCGGAGGTCCAATTAAAAAATACCGCAGATCAGAAACATTCCTCGTATCTCAGGCACAAATCTACCGGAGGATGATTTGCCGATGACTGTGCAAACATACTTTAATCGTCCCTTCCTTCCGCCCTCGACAATCACCCTTATCCATCGACCAACGCGGAGCCCCCTCTTCAACCGCCAAAACTTTTGCGAAACGCGTTGCGTGCGATTTAAATACCTGGATCGTGCCACGCATGCGGGTCATGGATCCGGTCTGTGTGACGGTGAGCAATCCTGATTTTAAATACCAATCGAGCCACCCCCCGTCCCCCTGTGTGGCGGTTCTCGGGGCCATCCACCCCTGTTCGTTCACCAGGGATGCACGATTGTGAGCACAGCTGATACCCCCATGCGAGCAGGAGGCCGAGGGTACGTTCGTCAGGGAAGGTCGCACGCGTGAACAAAAGCCGATGACCGAGGGGTTGGCTGTATGTGGAAGAGAAACTTTTTCGAGGGGTACAAAGAGACGGGGGTGCGCGCACAGTCAACCCCATATGGACGGCACAGCTGACCGCGTGGCTCATTAATAACGTACGTTAGGAAAATCAGTCGGAGCCCCTATCGCCACTCGACGAAAAACGTTACACGGCCGCGTTCGTTCTCCCGTATATAAACTACAAACGAAAGGAAAGGGGGGGGGTAGAAGAGTAGCGTATCGAGGAATCAAAAAGCGTCATATCGTATCGATCCGGTTAATCGAACCGCGAGAACTTTTATAGCTATGATATTATCGTCGAATAATAACGGTTACTGTCACACACACGTACACACGCGGCGCACGCGACCGTTAAAAGCCGAGTGAGCCGTAGAATAAACATCGAAGGTAAGATCAATTATGTACGCGTAATCTCGCGCAATTAGCTACGTGTGCTTGAGCGCCTCTCGGGGCGGGGACACTCCGCGACGGCGGCTCCCGGGGCTTCCCGGGAATGCTCCGGGACGCGCCAGTAGCCCCCACCCCCTCCCACAGGGGGGTGGTCGCGTTATTATTGGTCAGCGGTATTCTTTTGAAATGAATGGACCAAAATTAGGTGATTCTTTTTTTCCGTGAATTAGTTCCAAGGATACGATTGAGCTCTCAAAATTTTTTTTTCAGTTACAGACGTAACATGTGCTTTTGGAAAGAATTGCAGAGGCTAAATTTATTTTAAACTCTTCAGGGATAAATTATTAAGACCTGGAAAGAATAGTTTTCTTTTTTTCTTCAGCTGCATCGATTTAAAATATATTCATGAATATTAATGACAATTGACATGAATATTAATAACAACTTCCGAGTAATTGTTTATTCACAATAATATTCATTGTATCTTTGGGAGCTTGCTTAAATGAAAGAAAAACTAAACGTAAATATAGCGCATCCTTGCATGAAAAATGTTACAAATCGAAAACGTGTAACTTTTCTGTATTTGTGGAACTATGTATTGGAAGATATTTTATGCGAGAAAATGAAAATTGACAATTTTTTACTTGTGACACTTTCATGCGGGGGTGCGATGTGTGCCAGTATCCCTCAAGAAGTTAATCCTCAAACGATGACGTCTGGGTCAGTTTGACTAGAGTTTTCAAGAACGCCATTAATCTTCCAATGCACCATACGTTGGCCACCCCTGACCTAAGGTGCCAAAAATGCATGGAGAGGAAAGGGTTAAGAAATGTTTTAAATATTCTTAAAACGACCATTGGTTCTTGATTTTATAAAAATAAAATTTTTGTACAAGATAAAAAATGTTCGTTTAAAGTTTCTACTTTCGCATATTTCACCCAATCACTGAAAAATCCCTACAGCCAGTAGGCATGGTAGCTCGAGAGTGCCGGATTTATGTATTCAAAATACACACGTTTTCTGAGAGTTTCATCCCAGGGTGGTGCGTCGCGGTGGACAACGACGTATAAACAAAAGAGCGTCACAGTCGCGTTAGATGCACACAGGGCTTGCGGGACAGATGACGAGTCACGTCCAGAAATAGTCGCGTCGCGTGGGTGGTGTGCACGGTCGAATAATAAATAGGCGAAAAAAGGGGAAGTAGACCGTGAGGTACCGTCCGAACAAGATGGCGGAGACGCGCACGCGAGAAGAAAGAAGAAACGCAAATACGGAAGGGGCCCTCGACGCGCACGAGATGAGCACGGCTCTGTAGTTACGTAGGAAGCGCTACGTCTCCTGGAAACGTCAACCCTAGGCAGTCGGAGCCAGAGGGAACCTCAAACGGAGATTTTCGCGCGCTGAGATGATTGCGCAACACGGGTTGGTAGTTTTGACACGCGATACAATCGATAGGCGAATTATGCCGTAATAATATTTATCGTTATGTCATACTTGTTTACGCTTGAACCGCGTGGAATTATCGAACAGTGCTTATCCGTGCCAAAAATATATTCGATGGACGGTATTTTGAATCTTATCGGCAACTGCACGACAGTTTTTTTTTTTATCTATACCTCTCGTGTCCGTAGGAATATTTTTCTTTTTGTTACGAGAACATTCACTCCTAGGGTATGACCGATCGATTAAATTTTTGTACAGACAAGGCGAAAAGTATCGAGATCAAGATTCCAGGGTAAGTCGACGGTGAACGCCGGATACACACGTGTGTACACGAGGAGAAAGCAAGCGGGTGCAATTCCTTTTTATCAGGTGCTTACGTAATTACGTAAATTGCGTCCGACCTTGCCTGCCGGTCGACGAATTAGATTGACCTAGGCGCTTCCCGTATAAATAATGCCGGTCAATTAAACTCCGATAATACGCGTTAATCGAACGGAATAATTCAAGAAATCTTGCGCGTTCGCCGACAAATTATGTAACTTTTTTTTTCATTGTACATACGTTGCTTGGGAGATTAGTATGCGACCGAGCGAAGAAAAAAAGCGCATAACGTTTGTGGAAAAAAAAGCAAACACCGGAGAGACATCGAGACAAATATTGTGATTATCCGACGAGGCTGATATCCCCATTTTTTTCTCTTTTTAAAAATATCAACGGGAGAAGATACCGTGCTGGTACGAAACATGCAACCGTGTGCAATAGACGGTTATCTGGAGTGGCGGTAAACTTGAAACAAGAAAGAGGGAAACGAAGCGTGGGAAGCTTTAACGCTTGTAATTTGAGTTGGCTTATTAACGCTTTTGTTCCGTATGTTTCCTCGACATTTATGCGTTACGAGGTCTAAGTAAACGACGATATTATTTTCAGCAAAAACAATATTTTTAAAACGTTCCCGTAATTGTATTACGTTTAAATTTCGAGCATAAACTGTTGCAACTGTCGTTGACTTTTTCGCTTCGAAGCAGGGGTTCCTGGTTTTATCGTTAAAAACCGAGCCGACTTCTGTATGAGGCATCGGTAAATTTATTAGGTGTCGTCAGTGGCAGACGTCGTGTTATTTTGAAACGAAGCGGAGAACCCCTACCACAGAATATCATAAAAACAGTCCGTTGCAGCGTGTACCGTTAACTCGCGTTAATAAATAATTAAGCTTATCAACCTCGAGGCCAACCATCCAATCAAAACAAGCGGTTCATTCAATGAAGAAACAGTTGGTTCCATTAAAAGATACACGGTGAAAAAGGGACAGAAAGCTTTTTCACGTTTACCGATGCGATCGTCACATGCTACTCCTTTCGATCGCTGAAAACGCACGTGTTTGCGCCAATCAGTTTATTTCCAGCGTATAATAGCAATTATCGGATAGACAGACGAGAGAGAAAAGAAAAATATCGTTATCGCTTACCGGTTATGGAGGACTGTTTCCTCGTCGCGGAGGTCGATAAAATGGGGGTAGTGGGTTCGACGATGTACATTTTCTTATCCGCCTCCAGGTCGAATATTTCGTTCATGGTGACTTCGCCTCCAATTTGAGGTACCCTTGGCTCTTGCGGCGGCGTCCTTTCCGCTTTCTGAAGGATCGGAGTCGCCGGGGTCTCTTTACGAAGGAATTTCGTGGTGGGTGAGGAATCCCGGGACTTACGAGGCGTGCCAGGTGTGTGTTTCCTTAAGTAGGGCATACCACGCAGAGCATAGGGCTCTGGTACCACGTCCTGCGGCGTGACGAGTTCCCACTCGTACCTTGAATTTGCCCGCGGTATCTCCAAGTGAAAGTCGAATCCCCATCTCTCGGCGTCGAGCATAGATTGAGCGCGAAGCTCCCGTTCTGCTAATGCACGAGCGGCGGCGTGATCGACAGGACCGAACAGATCCCTTCTGACACGAGCAAGGGCTGCTCGACTCGGGGCCGTTCGACCTCCACCCAAATTCCTACTCATTTCCGTCATCATCACCGGATTCAATACTCGTGCGCTCATATTTTTTTAGTCTTTTTGCACTGGCAACGTCGCCGTCCCCTTGTACCAGTTACCAATAACCAATGATATTTCAACCGAGAAGCAACCTGCTCTGTGTCTCACTCTCCCACTTCTCGTCGCGGCGATTTCCTCTCTATCCGGCGTTTGTCGTTCCGTGCCTCAATGTTTTTGGATCGTGATTCCAGCCCCACTTGCTGCTGTTGCTCACGCCACCACACACTTCTATCGGACTCTTTAACACGCGCACAGCACGAGATTAAAAGCCGTCCGTTTTTGCATCAGTTTCGATGCTTTGTTCACACACGTCCCAATTACGGAGAGATGATTCTTCCAGGAATCGTTCACGGAACACGATGATGTTATACTCCCAGCTCTCCGAAACGTGGCAACGTTGGTCGTGGCGCGACCCACCGAATTTCGAATAATGGCCGTACTCAGCGTCACCTCGAGACTACGTTGATCGTTGACTTGCTTGTAGACGCGCGGGGACACTTTGCGGCGGTGACTTTTGACAGCAGACTCCCGCGCATTGGTCGATTTGAATCGTAGAACAAAGGCTGGTATTCGCTCCGACGAACGAAGCGTGCACCAACCAATAAGAAAGCTTGGCAACACGGTAAACACGGTATTGCGCACCACGTCCACGAGAACGAAAGACGATACGAAAACAGCAAACACAGCTATCTCATATTTTCGGAGTTCCTTATACTGTCCGACGACCGGGTCAATTGAAATAATATCCAATTATCAGTCATGGAATTGGATGAAATATTTCGTCAGTTTTCTCACAGATTCATCGCATAGCCCGCGGGAAGAATGAACCGGCAACGTTGCACGCACTTGCGCGCTAGCCTCCCAGAGACGTAGATGAGCTTGTTTCGACGTATTCCCGCGAAGATTACGAGACGAAGTTGCCCAAATTTGAAATCGCTCGAATGCTCTCTGGCACACTGATTTCGTAACTGCCGCGTCCACCCAAGATAACGCACAATAACGATATCACAGTTGGTCCTTTATCCGGCACACGAAGAATTTCGCGGAAAAGGTTATTGCACACGGCCCGTAAGCACCAATATGCTGGTCGTTCTCACGCTGGAAAACCACCGAATCGACTCCGATGCCGCGTAAAATCCAAAGTGGCGAAGTATCACGGTTCCCGCCAAATATACGACTGTCAAGACACACGCGTGGATCCAAGTTCGGCGGAAGGTCGAACACGATTGCGCAGTTATGTTGACGCTTGACGAGGTGCGTGCGTGCTGTATAGCTAGGAGTTGCGCGAAGGCACGTCCTACACGTGAAAAGCGCTCTCTAGCGACTGAAGCGAGCGCCTCTCGTTGCAGGGAACCAAGCCTCTAAAACACCTCGGCGCTTCTCGGCTCTACTCGGCTGTTTTCGCCTCATTCGGTGTCGCCCCCCCCCTTCAGCCCCCCTTCGCGGAAGAAACGAAATAACCGCCATTCGCAGAGTATAGTCCCTTCGACCGGAGCGCAACATTTCGCTTTGAAAGTACGGACGAGATGGTTTGTACAGTTATTGGCCCCATCTTCAAGACAACATAAACGAGCTGAATGCTGATTGTAACCATTGGACGTGTCCCAGTATGCCCATCTCCGTGGTAAATACCCTCCAAGTTATTTTTCTGCGTCGGGGGGTACTCTACCGAAAAGCTCAGAGAAACCGATAGGTCATGATTGTTCATTTTGACCACTCCCTCTTCCACCGGTATGCACAATTATACCGAAAGCACGATCGTATTCTTCATTGGTTACAATTAAGGAAATATTTAGTACTGACGAACTCGAAATAGAACTCTCTCGAATATTTATAAGTTCTGTTTGACGATCTGTCGAAATTTCCAACGATCGGTCGTCAAACTTTTTTGTAACGTGTTTATTCGAATCTTGTACGTTCGTATGAGTGTAATGTTAGGTAAAAGTTGATCGACAAAAAAACTAAAACGCATCATGCATTGACAAGCGGGCGAAAAATAAACAAGTCCAGCTTTCAAAACAACGGCTGTAATCTTATCACGGACACTCGTACGTACGTTTATTCGGCGGATTTCCATGTTTGCATGGCAATACGTTATGCACAGTGAATTTATTTGCATACCGTTCAGATTATCGTCGACATTTTATTTCAACCAATAGAAGTTACCGTTGTTTAAACATTGTGGTGAGAATTAGAGCATCACAGTTTAGCTAAATATTCGCAGGAAAACCTTATCTTGAATTTACGCCCTCAACGACACAGGTATAAATGCGAAAACGAATAAAATTCTATCTTCACTTATTCGTATTTTCAATCCATGTATCATTCAACCTATTATTGCTGGTTCACTGGGGTGCATGATCATAATTACACATATACTTGTTACTTGACTGTCAATGTTTATGCTGATTAACATTTTTACACATTACTGAAAAAATGGAATTTGAAGAGATTGGAAAGTTTAAACAGAAATTGAATATTTCTATTAATGGTTTTATTTGGATAAAAATCCAATCAAAGCTTATCATAAGTAGATCAGTGATAATGCTACTATTTCCAAGCGTTACTGATTCTATTGCTATGTACTTAAAAGTTTCCGAAACGTTTTCGGCTTATGTGTTTTTATCTTCGTTTTTTAAAACAGAAATATCATTTAGGTGATAGTGGTTTTCGTTGTTGCTATCCACAATATCAAATACGAATTTACGTAATTCCTTCGCAATATATGTATCTCAACCTGAATTTAACGAGTGAATAGTTCCAATTTTCAATTCGTCAGTATTATGCTAATGCAAAAAGTTGAACTTGTCTATGTTCGTAGAACATCAACGGCGCTGCTAAAGCAGCAGATATTTGCCGAGATGTTGCTAGGAAAGGCAAGGGATCAACGAGGCGAAACGACACTTTTCATTGATAATTGTCAATTTACCTCGTTGCTGTTCCCGTGGCCTGAATCATTTGTATCTTATGCAGAGGGCAACGAGGAAATGGTGTTGCGACGCGCTAGAGTAACTCGTGGCGAGCGGACTGTGCGTGAACGGTCGTCACGACCAATCAGGGCGCACGTCTGACACGTTGCGTGAAGTTGTATTGGTGAATATCCGCTCGCTGCAGCATGGCCGACTATATGGCGCCACTGTACAGGCGCGGGAAACTTTTAAATATTCAAACCTAGCAAAATCGACAAAACCATTATACAAAAACTATTTCACACTATATCTTAGTGTTCTAATCAGTTATTCCTTAAAATCCTATTTTAATCACGTATTTCGGTATTTCTGACAGTCCTTATTTCTTCGTCCTTGTTGTTTCTTTTCGAAATATGTCCTCCCTTCATTGGATAACCTTAAAACAAATAGGGAAAAATTAACAACGAGCAATTGAAAGGAGCGTAAAGATGATCGTCAAAGGGGGCAAATTCTCGTGAGAGGAACCGCAAAGCGTGTCGTTGGAAATGAAAAATCCCACGCAACATCCAGGAAGTGGTGAGGGTGGCACCGGATGCATCTCAATGAGGGGAGAATGAGCGAATGAGTCGCGTAAAACAATCCTTTTTGCGTTTCGCTAAGACTACCGTCTCTCTTTCATCTGCGGTCAGGTGGGGTACCCGTTTAGCAAGGTATTTCGTTGCACAGGTGTTCTCTCATGGTTTGTCCCGTAGACGAAGGATGGAAAATAAACACCGCCCAGCCTTCCCCACCTCTCGTATAACCGTTTCACCCCCTCCCCTCGTGTATCTTCCAGACGATGAGCTGTCCTAGATTATTTCTCGAGGAAGCCTGTGTTTACACATCCTGAATAGACGACGACTACGAGGACTACGACCGGAAGACGCGTGGCTGCATCTGCATTGGTCTGTTTACTAGCCAGGGGAGTCACCTGTTTCCATCGGTAAGAGAATTTCGCTATCAAATCCGGGTTTGTCGTCCTTGCAACGTTATCTCGTCGCGTGCACACTGCCGCGGAATGAAAATGTTGCCACGATAAATCATCTTTATCGAGCTCAAGGTGGTGGATCGAGGTTGAGAAGGTAGGCACTGTTCCGTTCGATGTGATAATAGATAATAAAGCGTTTCGTTTTTTTTTTCTGCAACGATGGGATTGTGCGCTGTATGAAGCGGCAATATTCGCTTCGACAGATAATAGATGGTATCGGAAATTGAACGTTAACGTCACTCTCGCTACAGGAACACATACTCATGCGTTCATACGTATTTGGACGCACACCTGTTCGCAAACTAACGTGAAATATATTGCAAGTAAACGTTTTTAATGTAACTATGCCTAATGACTTGATCACACCTTTTTCTAAAACAAGAAATATGAAATATATTGCAACTAACTATCATTATATATTTCATCATTACTAATCTACTCGTTTAGAGCAAAATCCATCAAAATATTTGCACAGACCAAAGAAAAATTTATTGTATTATAATTTGTTTTTATTATTTATTTTTCAATAGACATCTGATGATAGTAGAAATTGTGAAATAAATTAGACAAATCAAATCCTATTGCAATGACAATGATAAATAGTTGACTATTAAAAAACACTATACTAGGTTGTGTATTAGTTAAAAAAATCTATTTTCAAGACCACAGAATAATACAACATAGTTCTTCTGTAACATCACTATCACTCATTGCCGCATTTTACAATTAAGTACGTTTACTTTATAATCATATAACAGAAGCCTCTTCAATGAGATTCCACCAATTGTCAAAATGTTGATGAAACATCTTTCGACATCGTTCATTAAACGATGCGTGTTCGTGAAATTCTCGAACGGCGAGGGGCATTGTTCAATTGGGTTCCCCAGAACAATGAAGGTGGCGCGCGTTATACGTGAACATCTTTTGTCGTAGTCGCGATTGTGCCCACTTCCGTGGGAATTCGCGGAACGGAAGTGCAATTTCTGGCAATGGGTACGCCACCATCGTCGTGGCCAGCTTCCATGGCGCGAGCAACACGTAGGAAAAAAAGGCGATTCTTAAAGAACCGATGCCAGGTGCACCGGCTGTCTTCTCACGAGACGTCGAGATTAATTTTTAAAAGAAATCCTGATACTCGTGGAATCGAAAGGCTCGTGTCGCTCCGTGACCAGAGAAAAAAAAACAAGTGAGAGAATGTAAGAAAACTACGCCTCTCTCGGTGTGAACGCACCTTACATCAATTTGAATCCCCCGACGATATCATCGTGAATTACTGTATCGTCGGCACACGAACGCGGAATTTGCATAATTCCATCTGCCGCGAATGGGGAACACAATTGTTCCAATTAGCATAGTTACTGCTTAGGGCCCCGCATCTCGGAGTCATCTTCCGAGAAGGGAAATATTTGCGGTCTCCTCGGAAGATGCATTAAACAGATGTGTCATCTCGTTCTGCTCGCTAGAAAATTAGGTCGTGCAGAACCTAACAACCACCAACTCACCATATGCTCTCGAGGCGTCTCGAATACATCCACGTCGATATTCCGTTACAGTAGTTTAGTATTGTTAAAGCACGGGGGAATGGAGAGTGTTAGCAAAAAAAAAGAAAAAACAGAAACACTCTGTTACCCCGCTGTTTCGAATTTATAGAGAAATATACATATATTATTCCGTTTATTCATAAAAAAATTGTATAAAGCTATATATAATTTATTCACATCGTGTAATATCATTCGTTCGTTAATCACGTGTATTGCACACTATTCCAATAAATACTGTATTAAATAATCGCGTAAGAATACTACAAAGTCTTTATATAAATAATACAGTAACAAATATCACGAGAAAAGCTACATCCGATTTTCAAAAAAAGGAAAAATCCTGGACCAAAAAGGTCGGATTGTTTTCGGTAAATAAAATTTAAAATATAACTTTGGTTCACTGGCGCTTCGGGCACTTAAACGTGCCAATACTTTGACTAGGGGGTTTTAAATTAATGTACATTTCGATCTACGACTTGTCAAGTTTTCCTTGAAAAATTTCCGAATTTTCAACTCGAACAGCGAGTTTGTTCCTTGTTAAATTGGAGAATCTCGTGGCGAGTTGTCTACTTCGTAATTTGTCTCATGTACTGTCGGTCATTATCTTCTCATCTTTGTCTTCCGGTTGATCCTGCATCGCGAAGTCGTCGTCCTGCGCGTCATCGTCATGCACGATCTGCAGATTCTCCACCCGATTTCTCGTTTCCAATGGATTCCCAACCTCGTTTCCGTGTTGATCTAGCTTCACCCACACGTATCGTCCAGGCAACGGTTCCTCCTTCTCGAAGTCGAAGTTCCATCTTTCCTTGGCCTACCATCCGTACAAAACACGCGGAAACGTACAGTAAAACGTTTAAAATTAAACTTGTAGACGGTTGTATCAAAATAAAAATTAATTTTTTAGTCACCTAACGTTTGCACCTCAAATATCTTTGTTGTTTTTAAAGATACGTCAAATGTCGTAACGACAAAGTTGAATGGTTCAATGGGGCTCATACGATACCAAACAAATTTTTGTATTTATGTCATTTTTTTACAGATATCAAGGTCACCTCCAGTTTTTAAAATGGAAGCACCCCTTTTAAACACCTACAATGATAGTCCCTTTCATTAGGAATTCAGTAACTATAATTATTCAAGGTCATTCAAAAAAAAAAAAAAAATAAAATAGAAATAATTTTAAAAAATGAAGGTGACCTTTGATATCCCTAAAAAAATGACATAAAAACAAAAATTGTTTGGCATCGTGTGAGCCGCATTAAACCATTCAACTTTGTCTTGTAAAGTTTAAAAAGTGTGACTTAATGCACTCTGGCTCTGGGGTCCAGATATGGCAATTAAATATTAAATATTCTCTGCTCGTTTACTCACGTTCTCCCGGTTTTTCCGTGCCTCCTCGTAGAAACAATTTGCAAGGTTGTCCTCGACGCCCGAATTTCGATCCGAATCCCCATGGTTCTCGTCCTCGTTGTCCTGGAACAATCTTCTTCGCACGCTGCGAAACCTGTGTCCATCTTCTACATCCATGCTCGGATACTGCAGCGTGAGTCGGGCCCTGATAATGTTTCGGTTAATCAAACGCAGATGATTAGCTTTTATTATTATCATCGTTAATGTACGTTGTTGCGAAAGGTACACGATAAAATTATAGATTAGATTAATTATAACAAAACAGTAACAACATATAAATGAAACCCAAAGGTCGGTAAACCAAGGTCAGTTACCCAAAGTTCAGCGTAAAACCCGATCTTAGGTATCCAAATATTAAACTCACGAGTAAACTCGGCTTCTGCTAGGGGAAAAATGGCGTTGGGGAAGGGTTTCCTACCATTTGGTAATTTATTTCAAGTATACTGAAATAAATGTTAAACTGAATGTTAATTTGGTATAAATTTCAGTAACTTCCGAGACCAAATAATGATGGTCCCTCCTTTACGCTCCTTTTTCCCCTAGCGGAAGCCGAGTTTGCTTGTAAGGGTGCATCGTCCTTTACCACCTTTCGTTTCAGTAACTTTGCGTTATTATACTTAATTACTTAACACTGGAATCACTAAACCGATGAAAATGACGGAATTCAGATTTGTTGTTTTACGAATATTGTAATTATTACAGTGCTTTCGTGGGTATTCTAGTCGACCTTTAATTCAATTAAAAATATTGGATCTTAAAAGTGCAACAATGCTCCATTTATAAACATTTAATAATTTTTAAATTTATAATTTACATTTCTTGTCTAATGGTCATTTATTGGTATACAGTCAATTACTGGTTGGTTTACCTTACACAAAATTAGTATACGAAAAAATTCTACGGGAAAGATGTGTTTTTTTCGAAGGACAAGTAGAAAATAGGATCCCACAATCTGGGGAAAGAATTTGCAACGTCACAAAGTAATGTTTAATTATCCGCCATGTTACGCACGATTTATCGTACACAGTGGTTCATTGCAGTTTGTAAACAATGTGATATGCATCGCCGTCGCGTAGACCATGCCAGGTCTATGCACGTGGTATCGGCGAAAGAGACAAAAGGAAGGAGGGAAGAGAAACCCGTAGCGGTGTCGGCCAATGTGCCGTTCAACGGATGTATCGGAATGCATTTCACTTCCTGCACGACCGTATCCCCGCATACCGGATAATAGTTATTATTCGACGATATATAGGCGAGATGAATTATCACTCGTGAAGCATAAAGTCGTACGACGATTCACGAGTCCTTTCTATGACCTTTAACTACAGGTTTTATCCGCTATCGTATACACAATCAGAGCCGTTCCTATGTTGTTGGCCATTCGAGTGCAAAAACAGTATCGCCGCTCTCATTAATTTAATATTATTTAATTAAGAATTTGATATGCAGTGGTTACTTTTTTATCTATATATGTATATATAGCTTTTAACATTTGTCATTGAGAAGGAATATTTTTAATTTTTATTTTTATAAAATAAAGATCGATTATCTTTCATTTGAATTTCTGAACAATTTTCTGAGACATTTCTATGAATTTAACTTATTTCTGTTATAATTTTTTCTGTCATTATTGAGTCTTATTAGGAGATACTGCCCCACTGTAAAAGACTGATAATATTATCCCATTTTCAGAATTATGCTTAACCTATTTTTGTCTGCATATTTGAATATATTACTTGTAGGATAATTATTGGACAACGTTCGCGATGATAATTACTTTTAAGGACATGCTTGACTTTAACGACAATAAATTCACTTTTTTCCAAGGACTTCACGAAATCCCAGTGATCTTTCGCTATCAAGGCCAGACCTCCGTGTTTTCACCGTGCGAAAGCAAACGGCTCTAGGTTGTCTCGCTATTTTGTTCCTTTACTCGATCAGAAACTGGTTTCGTAACTGAACTTTCGCTTCTATGAAATGAACCTCGTGACGCCCCGACTGTTGTCGGGTATAATTACAATGCGGTACATGTAGATAATAATTTTCATTCCTTGTCTTTCTTCCCTTATCCTTCATAAACTGACAAATCAGTCGAGGCTCTTGGAATAATCCGGGTCAAACCAGACCCAGACATCGTCGTCAGAGGATTAAAGCGTGAAACAGCGATCACGGACGAGTTTAAAAACGGAATTTCGTCGGTGCGTGTAATCAGGATGTGCGAGTCTGAGCCACCTTGCGAAACAAAGAATCCGTGCAGAGGAGCGTGCACCTGCTCGAGCCTCACATCCGCCGTTTATGGTTACGCCGGACTCTTGTCTGATATCGTGTCATCGTTTTTCCAATCTACTGCGCCCGGCAATCAGAAAATTATGTGTAGTTCCTGGCGTACGAAATCATTCGCTGGAAACTAGCCACACTTAAAACAGGATAACAACCCCTATTTCTCACATATACACACGATCTTCGTAGATCACTGCCAGAACACATACACATGAAAATCTTCATAGAGACACCCACTAAACGACAGATATAGTGTATTCGAAATTTTATATGAGATTTTTAAATTAAGGGTGTGTTTCCACTCGGTGACGTCATTTTTAAATTAAGGGTGTGTTTCCACTCGGAGACGTCATTTTTAAACGATTTTTAGAACTAAGAATTAGTTCATGTTTATTAGGACATGTTTGTTTAGATTTGAAGAAAGCACAATGAAATTTTTGTGCAATTAACTTTTACATTAACAAAATTATTAGATGTTTTTTTCAGTGTATTCACGTTGTTGTATTAATCGGAAAACCAAATCAAAGATAATCTTTATCTACATTAAAGGTGCTATCTTGTGAACTACTATGGAGCAGTAAAATTTTTTATTTAACAAAATGGCAGCCATGTGAAGGAAAAATTCATTAAATTTGCACCTTCTTCAGGTGATAACAAACAAGCTATTGCTGATATTGACGTAATAGTCTTTCACAAGATAAAGAGACGTTACTTTATATGTATGTCAAAGCTGAGGTAGATTGTTTAACTCATTATGGATATATCGTGGCAGCCAATTTGTAACACATGCTTTCCAGAAAAACGCGTTTACTCGTACAACGGCGCACTGTTCCCTTAAAATCGTTATAACTTCGTCATTTCAATGAATCGAAACATTGGGAATACATTTTCAAGTCGCAATACTTTTAAAAAATACAATAAAATAAAATCGATTTATTTTACCCTTTCGAATGGTAACACCCCCGTAAGAACACTCACATCTTGTGCGTAACCTTCATTTTTTCCACCGGGTGGAAGGTAGAATCGTCGACGAACAATCGCGAATCCGTCTTATCGCAATCGTATTACCACATAATCACGTGAAAATGATTCACCGTAGAATGACAACGGTCACTCGCGTCGAAACGCACGTGTGATTCACTTTCCTGAAAGAACGAACGAACGAACGGACGGTTTACTGTCAGCCGGCGAAAAGTTCTCTTGGCTTGAATAGCAACGCGCGATCAATAATCTCATCGTTTTCGTTGAGGGTGTGGACTGCGAGCACGAGGGGGTATTTCAGTGCGCGCGCACATTGCAACGAGAGCGCATTCGCACGGATATCGATACTCGACGCGTTTCGATGCGGCATCATCGAGCCGCGGCGTGTTTACCTCTGCCGTTGCACCTGGGATCGATTGATTGCCGATCATTTGATTTAAAAAAAAATGCATTTCTATAGAATATGGACAGTAGAATATAGAGGGTGTATCATTTTTAACCCTTGTGTAGGCAACCGGGTACCAAGGTACACAGTTCTAAATTTTCTTTCACAATTTTTTATGTTCGCGTTTGAAACAACACTTGGTGTATTATAGGAAGGGAAAACTAAGAGTTTTGGAAAAGTATGAAAGTAAAATTATCTATGTTTATCTAATCCGTCAGAATAGGGGTGAAAACGGTGGAATACCTCCCACAGAACTTAAATAAAAAAAAAGACGTTTTTATAAAAGTTGTTTCGTGGGGGGGGGGCATTATATAGTATAAATGATTTTTTTGCAGCTATAGTAATAGGGGAGATTTCAAGGAGTAGTTAATTTTTTTTAAACGGAATGCTATGTTTATGCTTGTTTTGAACACTTATCCGGTCAAAGTGAGTCCAATGGACTTACACTGATATATGAATTTATTTATTTATTTATTTGCCAGTAAATTTACAGTTACGTAAATCCTATAGAGGTAACAAACAAATTACTTGCACATAGACCTGGCTTATAATAAAGAAAAAAGAAATATTCAAATAAAAATAAAATATAAGAGTTATAAAAGATCTGAAACAGTAATATGCATATTCACTACTCAGCGTGAAAATATTATAAAATAGAAATTGGGTCAAAGTTTATAACTTTAAAGTTACAAACCTGAAGCAATATTATTGTATTGAGTACGAATAACTCATTTAATCCTCATTATATTATAATAAATAAGTTATTAAAATGTTGTGAGTATTCTTAAAAATTTATCCTAAAAATAAGGTATACATTTTACTAAAATTGCGTGATATACTCATATATACCATTGGTCTCCGACTGCCCGTCTACATTACATACTAGATAAATTGCCCGGATAAGGGTTAATACGATAGCGTTCGTTGAGATGAGTTCAACGATGTGTTATACAAGGTTATTGACTATAGCAGGGGGTCGTGAGTTAGTGAAATTCGAAGGGACAGATCAACGTGATCGCACAGGTTGTGTCCTACCAAAATCTACGTTACCGTGCCAGGGGGTCGCACCAGACCCACAATTCGCATTGATTTGACTACGTAACATCTTATTAATTTATCACATCCTATGGTACTCAATAATGTTATGTAGCACATCGTTGAACTCGTCTCACCATATGCTACCATATTATGAATAAAAAAAAGCATTTCGTTTAAGAAAATTAATTTGACCTTGAAATCACCCCCACTACTTTACTTGCAAAAATTTGTATCTATCGTATAATGTTCCCCTCCAGATTAAATAACTTTTCTAAGAATATATTTTTTCACATTTTCAGTTCTTTAGGCGATATTCCACCGTTTTTAGTTAAAAGGGACACCCTGTAGAGAATAGTATGTCCTTCCTAAAGTTTAAAGGGAACCTCGCGCTGTCAACGATATTATCAGTGTTTATTAATACCAGACTCTGAACCTAACCTAGATCTGGCAATAATACTGTCAGTGTTAATGAAGAAATACTGTAGTAGTAATTAGTAATTGCTACAGCAACAGTAATTGAGACATACTGATAGTGACACTGATCGTGTGTGGCCAGTACTGACCTCGTGTTGTACTTTTTCATTCTATCTGTCCTTATCTTTCCCGAACATGCTTGCCTCAAACGTCAACTGGACAGTACATATATTAACGTGTTACACCGGGGAAACTACTTACTTTAACTTCCTATACCACTACTTAAATGTACTTGTATCCGATAATTTCCATCTGACGTTGTCTATTAGAGAGAAAATTGTACATTAAATTGTGAGAGTTCGCCCAGTTAACAAGTTACAATGGCCTACAGTCTACCACTTTCTAATTGTCTATTACGAACGTCAGTACCTAAAGTTAAAATATTAATCAGACGCAAGGAGTGACCTACGGTAAGCTTACATCAGATTACATCAAAGTCACTAATGTTGTATAAATTGTTTACAAAAAAAAAAAAAATGTGAATAAAAGAAAAATGGAAAAATTAACCCAAAAAGCCGACCATTCACCTGCATCAACCCGATAACTCCTCTGCCTATCGTGGCTCGAACGTCGTAGGTCAAGGAACCAGATCAGAAATCGAGTTGCCCAAAATCGCACGATTTTTTCGTCACGCGTGTACTAACCTAGATTCTTCAATCACCAACGTCACGGTTCTCGAACGTATAACCTAATTACAGATCGATATCGTCAACACGCCTTTGAACGATAACCACAAGATGTGCCAGAATCGTCTACACACCACAAAACGTCCACTAAGAAACAGGTATAGATCGTAACCGTTGTCGTGCAGAGTTCGATAGTTGCAGACGGTGCAACGTTTGAACCGCGACTGGCTGGAAAGTACAGAATAAGTTACTTGCATCCCAGGTGCAGTAGGCTAGCCTAGATTCTTCTTTGCAGACTATTAGTCGCGGAGCAACAGTGTAACAGACGCATGCGCGAGTAAATGATTAACCGGAGTGTAGTTCATTGTTTCCCGTCGCTCATCCCGGAACACAGGATCTGTCGTGATACAATATACATATTTGTTCCAAGGAAAACTATGGGTCGTTAAGTATGAAACTTGACCAATAGAACGTGACATCATCATTTGACCAATTTGATCCAAACGAACCACCCAGATAACAATTTGCGTGCAGATTGGCAGCAGATTGGCAGTAGATACGGAAGTAATTTGTCTAGAAATCCATAGCTATCTGTTTCCATATTTGGCTTGGGTTTGCTGACAGAATCGTGAAGCAGATTGGTGGCAGATTGGCGGCAGATCCTGTAACACAACCCAGCTAACTAACCTAGGTTAATTTATAACCTGGGCTATTTTTTACTTGGCAAATTGTTTTTGGCAGATCATGTATTAAATTTGTAGCCATTCGGGTTATGAAAGCTTTAACAGGCATTGGACAAAATGTGGCTATGCAGATTTGACTGACTCGGTTATATGTATATCAAGTCAAGTTTCACACTTAACGACCCAAATCTTCCGCGAATCGATCGTATTCAATGCAAAGCAATCTAGTACTTCCAGCCTAATCTCCACCTACGATTGTTCGAATTACCGCGAATTATCGGTCGTCCCAGCAATGCCTTCTCCGTCAAGGAATTACTATCTATCTTCGCGGGAATCCTTGTGGACAATCAACGAAGAGTTGGGGTAGAGATGGGGGGAGAATCGTTGGATCTTTTACCTCGGAGAATCGATCGAGTTCGATCTGCGAACGATATCGGTGTCATCGTGGCAGCGTATCGGATTGTCTTTCCCGTACGATAAAATCGATCGATCAATATTATATAGCTGGTCGTGGCGAGGATTGCGCGGAACGGAATGGCTGTTCGAGGAAAAGGTCGTTCCCGGGGGGAGATAGAAAAACGGCAAGAGTTTCCGTGAGAGCTCGGCCCGATAGAGAACGACGGGAAGTAGAACGGCAAGGAATTCTCACAAACGGATACGCGTATTCTCTGGAGGATTCTTCGAATGGTTAAAAAAAAAAAAAAATAGAAGCGGCAGCTGGAAGCAAGCTTCGAGAATGTAGATAATTTCTTGGCTCTAGGACGTCTTGTTTTCCTTGGTAGAGCTTCCTTTGGTCGTTCGACCTCTGCAACGACGTCGTTGGCCGTTTTGTAACCGTCGTTTCGTACCGTTCCGCGCTCGTAGCTTCCGAGGAAATCGCTGTAACTAGATCGCGCATAATTCTCGTTTCGTTTCGTTTCTTTCCGCTTTGCTGTAATTGTTTTCGCGTTTCTTGATGCCCTGCGGTCTCTCCTGGCAACACACGCAGCTGTCGGCGACTGTGAGCCGAAAGGCCAACGATGGCACCTAACTTGGGGTTAGTGAGATGGGCTCTGAAACAGTTCGAATTGCTTCGAATATGTAGGTGTGATGGAAGATTCGGATCAGTTCGAATATGAATCAATACTTAGAATTCTTGACAGTCTTGATGAGTCGCGTATCTTGAGTCTTAATTGTCCAAAGTATAAACATGGACGTGTAGGAATTAAAGATATTTCATTTGTTCGTCCTGCAATTGAATCTAATTTGCTTGAGTCTTGAAAGTTTTGATAAATTCTGAATGTCTTGGAAGTGTTGAAAGACTTCAGAGGTTTCAAATCTAATTGAATTAGGTATTCTTCTATTTTTTATTCAAGTGTTGAAAGTTTTGATAGTTTTCAAATCTATTCATCTATTTAAATCTTGAAAGTTGTGATACTTTTGAAGTCTACTTCAATATAATTAATCCAATTAAGTATAAAGTCACGACAACCGTTCAGATCGATCGAAGGGAGAAAAACTTCGCCATCACTCGATAGAAGAACTTGACCATTGGAAAGCTTCCAGGTTGAAGTTCGCAACGTACGAGCTTGAACGTTCAACGCGTGTGACCAGAATGAATATGTCGACCTGATGAGCGTGCCTGATTAATATTAACGCAAGAGAACCGAACCGTTACCAACCAAAAAGAACCGAGACCGTAAACCAATAACATTCTATTTCTTCCAGTCTCGAAACTCCCGTTCGAATTGATTCCAAACAGACAACAAATTCGATTGTATACCATTTCCTTTTGACACAAATTTCGTACACTTAGAGTAAACGTATCTAATATCACCTACCCAAATTCAGAAAGAAATTGTTTGTGTTTTACATACGAGAGGTTAGAACTATTGAAATCTAAAAAAAATTTACGAATTTTAGCGGATTACTTTTGTCCACGATGTC